TTTTTTGACTGATTATGAAATGGCCATTTAGAGGAGTAATTTCAGAAGTTTAGAGGAGACAAATGAAAAAAGCATTACTTGGCAACGGCTGAAATGTACAAACTACAATGACCAAACATATAGTATCATAGTATTAGAACTGGCAGAGTCCTTAAAGGGCAGTGATTCCAACCTCTTCATTTGACAAATTCACACACACACACACACACACACACACACACACACACACACTTATATTTAAATTTTTTTCTTCAAATCACATAGGATCATAGATCTCTATCTGTAAGGAACCTCAGAGGCCAAACTGAATAATAAATCTAGAGGTCAAATTGACCATAGAAGCCAACTACTCAAATATGCTGATTTTGCAGATAAGGAAACTGAGGACCAGGAAAGTGAAGTGGCTTGCTCTAGGTCACATAAGTAGTAAGTGGAAGAATCAAGATTGGAACCCAGGCTCTTTGCTTCCAAATCCAGCACTCTTTCCACATCACCACACTACTTTCCTCTTTCTAGGGACTGAGACAAACCAAGATATCTATATATTTTAAATGGAGCATGAGGGTAACCAAGGAACAGAAGTTGTATAGTTGTGCGTTTGAGGCTCTCATACTGCTCTCTGTATGTCTAGAATCTTACACTCTGACATTCCACCAAGTTTTGTCCTGTTTTCTTCACACTCTAAAATTATCTTCCTTTCTTTTTAAAGGGGTATTTTCATAAAAATTTACCACCCCCACCCCCATAAAACCTTCCAATTTTCTTAGATCTAAAATTGAAAAAGATCTGACTAAATTCACATTAATATTTAATGAATGCCATGTTACCCCTACTTGGGAGAATTTTCATTTTAAAAGAGAATGTTTGGAGAGGTAATGCCCTTAACCCAATGGGATGGATGACTAAGAGTAGAATTTCAGGCACTGCTGCTCCTGCATAGTGGCAAAAGACTCCCTGTGCAGCTATTTACTTACGCTATACATACTGGCAGCCCCAAACATTGAATACAATACTAATGTAATAAAATACCCAAAGAAATCCAGAGAAACATGGGAAGACTTGATGCAGTAAATTAAAATTAAATTACTGATGCCAGTAAAACAATGTAAACAATGACTACAATAACAAATGAAAAGAACCTTAAATTATTACTAAGTAACCATTACAACTAATACAACCACAACAACCCAGGAGAGGAGAGGAGGAAATAACTTCTTCCTTGTGGTAGAAATATGGGGGACTGTAAGAGGTACAGAAAGTCAGACAAGGGCATTGTGTCAGTTGCTTTTGTTTGATTTTTTCTTTGTTACATGAGAGGGCTCATCCTGTCTCACGTGGCTGTGACATAAAAATAAAATGCATCAATAAAATTCATTTTAAAAAAATGAACAATTACCCACAGAGATCTGATCCACATCTGAGGAAACTGGCAACCACAAGGCTAAGTGACTTAATTTATTAGATCCTGTCTAAGTGATAGAGTCAGGGACAGAATCATGTCAACTCCATAGTTAAGAGATATACTGTTTCTGAGCCTTCCAAATTCATCTTGAAAGAATAAGCTCATGTGCGCCCTCCTCCAGGAAGTCTTCCTTGATTCCTTCCACCAGAAAGGGTTGTTTCCCATTGAATCTCTCAGATCACACTGTTTGAGCTATTTCATTCACTTTGTGGATGGCATAACAGAGAGCCAGCCTCAGAGTCAGAACAAAAGGAGTTAATAGTCCCCCTTCTGACACATTCTGGCTGGATGACCCTGGCCAGATCACTTAAGTTCTCAGTGTCCCAGGCAGCTCTCTAAGACACAAGTAACCAAGCAGGTATCATTTGCATTAGTAGAGGGAGTATCTCAAAGGGAGCTAACTATGCTGATGAAACAAGTCCAATTAAAAGAAATGTACTTAATCATATTCTAACTCGTGCTGTACTTGGAGTCAAAAGTGCAGGTGACCTGAAAGGCATTTGGCTGATATAAGTAGGCTGCTTCACATTACTCATGATGATTCACATATGAGAGGTGGCATTCATTAAATAATCATGTCATGGATAACCATAAAAGGAGGAAACCCAGTCAATAAGTAAGAGTGAAGGATAACCAATGGATAGCCCTAACATTGCACTGGTGTCTATAATATTACAAAATAAATAAACAAAAATCTAAGAAAAGGTCCTCTATGGAAGATTAACAAAAGAACACATTCAAGAACTTTACAGGACAAGGTATGGATCTCTGCTAATGCAGACAGGATTGACGCCAGCATGATCACAGGAACAAAGAATGGGGAGGCAGTATGTTACAGTGGGAATGGTATTTTCTCTGGAGTCGGGGACCTAAGTTCAGCGTCCTACTGATTACCACCTATGTATCTTTGGCCAAGTCATTTGAGAGGATGGGGTAGAGAAAGAATTTATAAAATGCCTACTATGTGACAGGGACTGTGCTAAGTACTTTATAAACATCTCATTTGATACTCCCTAAGCCTTACTTTCCTCATCTATAAAATGAGAGGGTTGAACTTGATGGCTTCTGAGGTTCTTTCCAGCTAAAGACCTAGGATCCTAACATATGCTAGTGTTTTTGGCATTTATGTTTCTTCCTTCTACGAAATTGTAAGCTCCCGGAAGGAAGGGACTATTTAATGTTTTATCTTTTAACCCCAATGTTTAATAAATGGCCTTTAAAAATTAAAATGGATCCCACCTATTTGTCTTGAGGTGCCAACAGTAAATAAATGTAAACAAAAGTAAGTCAATAATTTCTGTCTCTGATTTCCTGAGGTAACAAATACTTTTATTCAGTAGGGAATTATGAGAATTGGGTTCTAGTCCTGGATCTGTCTTTATCTATATGACCTTGGACAAGTTCTTCCATTTCTCTTGTACCTCAGTTTCCTCATTTATAAAATGGGCATAACACCACATCCTCTATCCACCAAACATTTCATCTCTTTGTTGAAAGGATTGTATGAGATAAGATCTGTGGAACGATCCTGAAATGAATCAATGGCAGTAGGAATGAAAGGTGCTGCTATTGCTATTCCCAAAGGTTTGAAGTAGAGGACAAGATGAAAATCAACCATTCATTAAGCACTTACTGGAAGGCACTGTGCTAAAGCAAAGGGGTGGGGGTGGGGATGAGGGAAAGCGGTTGAAGCAAAAACAGTCCCTACTCTAAAGGGGGTTACATTCTAATGGGGAAGGTGATATGTACACACAAATAGGTACATACAAGATATATACAGAGTGGATGCAAGACAACGTTAGAGGGAAAAGCACTAGCTATCATTGAAAGAGAGAGGGGCACCTGAGAGGCTAAAAATTCCCTTTCAAGACCCCCTAGGATGACATCACAGTACAATACCTGTCCAATGGCTGAGTCTGTGTGTAATACATTGTTTATAAACACAAATAAGCTCAGGTTGTATCAGTAGTTTCAAGTACTTCCTTTCTTGGCACATTCCTTAGCCCTGACTTGCCAAAAAGAAACAGAGCTGGGGTTTTAACCTCTTATTGTGTTGAGGATCTCTTTATCAGTTTGGTGAAGACTACAGTCTTTTCCCAAAATATTTTTAAATGAATAAAATAAGTGATTACAAAGGAAACCAATTATATTGAAAACTTATCAAAATATTAAAAATTATAACAACAAATTTATAGATCCTCTGAAATCTATCTATAGACCCTTTAGGGGTACATGGACCCTAGGCTAAGAACACCTGTCATAGAGCTTAAAGAAACCTAGAGACATTTTATTCTAACCCCTAATGATCTTATAAATGAGGAAATAGACCCAGTGGGTTGCAGTGACTTGCCCAAAGTCACAAAGCTACATTAATGGCAGCAATGGAAAAAGGATTTTACTTGGAGGTCTAAGACCTGGGCTTCAAATTCTGGCTAAGCTACTTGCTACCCGAGTGACCCTGAAGAAATTGCAACCTCTCTGCATCTTATTTATTGTACTAGATGGCTGCTTAGGTCCTTTTCAATTCTTTTTTTGTTTGTTCGTGTTTTTGGCTAGGCAATGGAGTTTAGTGAATTGCCCAGGGTCACACAGCTAGTGAGTGTATTTTGTCTGAGGCTGGATTTGAACTCACGTCCTCCTGACTCCAAGGCCAGTGCTCTATCCACTTTGCCACCTAGCTGTCCCAAGGTTCTTTTCAATTCTAAATTGATTATAACATTTCAGGACTAGAACTCAGGTTTCCTCATTCATGGGATCATAGCTTTGCCCTGGAAGGGACCTTAGGGATCATCCAATTTTAAGCACCCTCATTTCACAGAGGAAGAAAGAGATAGCCAAGGAAGGATCATGTTTTGCTTAAGGTCACAACATTTTTTTCTTCATACCCATCTGCCTGTCCCTGGTGAACTCCACTGAAGCCCATGTTCCTTTCCATTCATTCTGACCAAGTACTCACATCCATTAGTTGCAGTACAGGCTATGCAGAGGGCACGGTCCCTGCCCTTAGGGAGTGCCCACTCCCTGTAGCATTTCTGTCCAGATGTTCTGGATTCTTTCTTGGTACTAGAGAAAGGATTCAGGTACCTAACTTATTTTTGGTGCAAAAAGGTAGGAAAGGGACTGAAAAGGAAGGAAAGGGACTATTTGTGAACATCATCTCCCTTCCTCACCTTGAGTATCTGTAAAAGGAAGCTTCTGTTTCTCTGTGTGGTAGTATTCTGAGCAAGCTGGATGAAAGTCTCCTTGAACACTGCCTGCTTGCTCTGCCTAACTTCTGAATTCACTGAGTAGAGAATGCAGGGGCACTCTGGCCTCCAGCTCCAAAGGCTTGTTAATTAGAGATGAAGTCATAGAATTGAGGGCTGGCAAAAGGTTATCACCCTCAGCTAAGTTATACCTCAAACAGAATATAAGTTCCCTGATGGTGGGGATGGTTTCATTTCCATCCGTGTGCAAGCATGCACACATACTTAATGTCTGTTAAGTTGGATGCAACGAGCTGAGATCTGAACGATTTCAAAGGCAGAATTAATTTTACCTTGCATTCTTCATCCAACAGGTCCAAGATGCCCAGTTTAGCTTCTATTAGGTCGATGCAAGGCTGGTTATCATAAAAATCAATCAGGGTCCATGGGATTTGCTCCTTCATATATTCTTCTTGCTCCAGTTTGAAGACATGCTGGGGTCAGAAGTGAGGAAGAGTTACATTTTGGTGAAATGCTGGAGAATCAGACCAGGGGAGTTATATGTCCCAGGAGAAATTAATCTCTGTTTAGCCTACATTAGACTATATAATAAGTGCCCCATAGATCCTGAAAACATTTAACAATTAACAGATTCAGCTCTTGATCACAAGTGGGGTATGATTTATTCAGATGTTTCTATTTTCCCACCTGGGACCTACCCTCACATCATTCAAACCACGTATTTCTGCTCAAACCACAGACATCACTAAATGTGACTTTCAACAATCTGGGCTGCATCAGAGTTTGGACTGCCCAAGAGCCAAGGGTGATGAGAAGTTAGACAGTATGTCACCTAGATTCAAACCTCCTAGTATATATAGTACAGTATAGTATGGGCTATTCCTCATGATGCAAAAGGCACTCACTAGAATCCAAGGAGTGAGACTAGAACAAACAAAATTAACATAGCAGAGCAAAAAAGAGGTGTTGGAACCCATGGAACAAAGGGAGTTTACCCAATGAGTCTGAACAGGAGGCTTACCCAGTTGAATTGCTGCTGGAGTTTTTCATTTGCATAGTTGATACAAAACTGTTCAAAGCTGTTCACCTCAAAAGTTTCAAATCTGCAAAGTGGAACAAAAAGAAACCATGCGTAGAGAGAGGAAGATATTGTCTTTTACTCTGGAACCTGGTGACCCAGGACTGAAAAAGGATATACTTTCAACTCCAGCTCTAAATTCCAATTTGCTGTTAATATATCATGAGCATCAAAATGATTATCTGCACTAAAAAAGAGAGAAGCCTAGATCCTACAAAATGGTAATTATTCTGAAATTGTTTATTTTTGGCTCAGAGGGATATTCTCTCTCTCTGTATGTCTCTTACTGTGCCACACACACACATGCACACACTCCACTTTTGTAAAATGTAGAATACTATATAAATATAAGCTATTATTGAGGTCACATCCACCTCATTCTGAGTCTAAGCCTGGTTTGTTCTGCCTTTGGCAATACTTAATGGAGGTCCTGGCCAGATTTGGGGAAGGAAGGGGCTCTATGCCACACATAAAACCTACAATAATTACCTTATTCAAGAATAACTGGGAGCTGTCCACGGTTCTGAGGGCACAATTCCAGAACCTGAGGTTGGAAAGAAGCCTGGGGCCATTTAGACCAACCCATACCTGAAAAAGAATCCTCCTCCACAATATCCCTGGCAAGTGGTCATTCAGCCATTGCTTCAAGTTGTCCAGGGAGTGAGAATTCATTGGGTCCCAAAGCAGTCCATTCCACTTCTAGACAACTCTAATAGGAACTTTTTCTTTACCTAAAACCTAAATGTGTCTCTCTACAACTTCTACCTATTGCCTCTGGTGCTACTCTCTGAGGCCAGACAGAACAAGCGTTCCAATTTCTTAAAGACAGCTTTGAGACCATTCTCCTCCTCGTCCCAGCACATCTTCTTTCTTCATCTCCACTTCATGGTCTCAAATCCCTTCACTGTCCTGGACATCTTCCTCTAAACATACTCAAGTTTGTCAATGTCCTTTCTAAAATAATTACCCTGAATGGACACACTATTCCAGATTTGTTCTGACCAGGGCATAGTACACTGCGTCAGTCAACTCCTTTGTTCTGGATATCATTTAACATTCATTTAACTGAGATCTAGTACTGCAAACAATTTCAGAGGTCATTTAATCTACCCCTCTCGTGAGGATAAGAGAAGGAGGAGGAAAGTGAAGACAATAGGGCTAAGTGAATTCCCAAAGTTCACACAGATAGCAAGTATCCAAGGCAATACATGAATCCAGGTCCTCTGATTCCAAAGTCAGTGTTCTTTGCCCACAGCATTGATACTGCCATTCATTTATTCAATATTTATTAAGTATCTAGTCATTCAAGGCAGTCATTAAGCATTTATTAAGCACTTAGTATGCACTAGAAATTGTATTAAGTGCTAAGGTTACAAAAAAAGGAAAAAAATAATCCTCATGGTCAAGGATCTCACAGTCTAGTGGGGATGACAACATGTGAGCAATTATTTACATATATAATACATACAGAATAGATGGAAAACAATCACAAAGTACGGGCACTAACAGTGCACTGGGAAAGACTTCTTGAAGAAGGTAGGAATCAAGCTTGATCTAGAAAGAAACAAGAGAATGTAACAGTGCACTGTAACGCTGACTGGAATGGGGTAAGAATTTAAGCCTAACTTGGGAATATTGGGAGTTGTAGTCTTCATATCACTGGAACAGATTTGGGCTGGGGGGGCGGGGGGAATGAAGAATAGTATTCTGGCTGTGTGAGCTTTGCAGTTCTGGTTATGTGGGATGGTGTTCTACATGGCCACAAAAGGATAAGAGAGTGCACCAAGGCCTTTGGAAACAACTAGCAGCCCAGTTTACCTGGAAGGCAGAGTACATGGAGGGAGGAAGGAGGGTAGAGAACAAGCATTTATTAAGTGCTTACTATGTTCTAGGCACTATTCTAAGCTCATTACAAATATGATCTCATTAGATCCTCATGACAACCTTGTAAAGAAGGTGCTATTATTATCCTCATTTTGCAGATAAAGAAACTGAGGCAGACAGAAGTTAAGTGAATTGTCCAAAGTCACACAGTTCTCAGTTTACAGTTCTTTGCCACTACAAAAAGAGTTGTTATAAATATTTTGGCACAAATATGTCCTTTTTCCTCTGGGTTTTAAAAAAAAATTTTTTTTGGGGGGGGTATACAAGCCTCATAGAAGTATTGCTGGGTCAAAGGGAATCTACAGTTCAATGACTTTTTGGTCAGAGTTCTGAATTGCTTTCCGTAATGGCTGGACCAAAATCCCCAGTTCTACCAACAGTGCATTAATGTGCATGTTCTCCAGCAGCTCCTATAATGCTGGTTAGTTTCATTTTTAAAAATCTTTGCCCAACCAAGACAACTCTGAAGGATTTATGATGAAAAGTGTCATCCATCCCCTGAGAAAGAACTGATGGTGTCTGAATACATATTGAAGCATACTTTTTTTTTTACTTTATTTTTCTTTCATCTGTTTTCTTTCACAACATGACTATTATGGATATATTTTGCATGACTACACCTATATCAAATATATAACCTATATCAAATTGCCTGCTTTCTCAATGGGGCGAGTAGGGAGGGAAGAAGGGAGAGAATTTAGAACTCAAAGTTTTAAAAACGAATGTTAAAAATTGTTTTCACATGTAATTGGTGAAAAATAAAATACTAAATAAAAGGAAAAAAATCTTTGTCAATCTAATAAGTTCGATGCAGTAGCTCTAAGTTGCTTTAGTCTGAACTTCCTTAATTAGAGATTTAGAGCATTTTTTCATACCACTTTTGATAAACTGAATGTCCTCCTTTGATAACTACCTACTCATATCTTTTGATCGTTGAACAATTAGGGAATGACTCATTCTTATAATTTTAATAATTCCTTATATGTCTTAGAAATGAGAACTTTATCATAGAAACTTGCTGCAAAGATTTTTGCTCTCAGATAACTATTTTTCTTATAACTTTAGCTTCACTGGTTGTTGTTATGCATATATATGAAAAGTTTTTAACTTTACATAATAAAAAATGTCCATTTAATATTCTATCACCTTCCTATCTCTTATTTTTATCATGAACTCTTCCCCTATCCACATAGCTGAGAGAAATTGTTTCTATAAGTCTCCTGTATGATGATAATCAGTCTTGTTGGGTAAGTTATTCTTGGTTATAAGACTATTTCTTTTGACTTTTGGAATCTGGTATCCCAAAATCTCCACTCCTTTATATTGATATTTTCTAAATCTTATGTGATCCTGACTATAATTCCTCAGTAAGAAAGTTCTGTACTTTTGCCATGGCATCTTGAGGACTTTTCACTTTGGTTTTTCTTTCAAGAAGTGACTGGCAAATTCTTTCTATTTTCACTCTGCCTTGTGGTTCTAAAAAATCTGGATAGTTTCATTTCATGATTTATCAAAACATGGCATCCAGGCTCAATTTTTTTGGGTCATGTCTCATTTTTTCCCCCTATAAAATGAAGATAACAGTGTCTACTTTCAAGGTTTGTTGTGAGGATCAAATAAGATAATATTTGTGAAGCACTTTGCAAACCTTAAAGTGCTATATAAAACCTAGCTGTTACTATTATATCTTCAAGGTAGTCCAAAGATTCTGAAGCTATCACTTTCCGATATATTTTCTTGATCAGTTGTGTTTGATAAGAAATACTTTACATTTTCTTCTAATTTTTTCAATCTTTTGATTTTGTTTTAATAGTTCTTTTCTCATGGAGTCATTTCTCTTTGGTCCATTCTAATTTTCAAGGAGTCGGTTACTGGGGTAAAGTTTGGAACCTCTTGAATTAAGTTATTAATTCTCTTCTCCAGCATTCTCATTTCATTGATAACATAATTTTTAACTTAAAAAAAAACACAGCTTTTGCTTCATTTCTTCTGGAAACTCTAGTCGACCTTTGGCCAAGCTATTTTCTTTTGAGACTTTGATTGGAGATATTTTCTTCTTCTGTGTTAGTGTCTTAGGAGTCCCATGTACCAAAGCAGATCTTTATCTTTGTTTATTCATTCTTTCAGCCTTGTTTCTTGTGTAGGGGCTTTGTTTTAGGGCCAGGTTCTGCACCTTTCTGGACAGAATAGCAGAGCATTGCTTGGTCCTAGTTTGTATTCCTTGGGGTCCTGATGATGCTTTCTTCAGGTATTAAGGATCTCAAGGGTGACTTGGGCCAACCACCTGCAAACTACCAATGCACCATCAGGCAGTCTGATCTCATGTAAAGTCTGCTCACTGTTTTGCTGGTCTGAGTTTTGCAATATCCTGACCTCATTTTGGGTCTGAGCAAAAGAACTCAGGTTTACTCCTGGATGGAGCTCCAGGGCAGCCCTAGTCCCTGTCTGCTGGCTAGAAGTCTCTGAAAGTTCGGAATGGCAGAACTAGAGGCTTCCCTTTGGCCTGAGTTCCTTGTTCTGGTCCACTGGGTGTCAGCCTCAAACCAGTGTAGGGGCTGAATCTGTGAACTCAATCCAGGGTCAGTGCCATACAATTGCTGATCATTCCTGTTCCTGCTCCTTTCTTGCCAAGAACACAGCCTCCAGCCACCTCTGAGCTGGATCTGCTGACTGGGCTACCACTCCCTGCTCTGGGACACAGCCACATCAGCCCTGAGCTTAGCCACAGCTTCCACCCTGCAACCATACTGGGATGCAGAACCATACAGATTCAGACTGGCTGCTGCTCCCCTGATCCCCAAAGGCAGCTCCTGCTTGGTCTGGCATGCTTCTTAGATCTTTATTGGAGTTGCTGCAGAGAAAGCTGGGCTGGACTGATTTATCCAAATCCACCATCTTGGCTACCTTTAGGAAACTTTTCAAGGAGCATGTTAAAAAAGGGCAGGAGAACATTTTGCAGGTTAAGAATGGGACGTGAGGGGCAGCTAGATGGCACAGTGGATAGAGCACCCACCCTGGATTCAGGAAGACCTGAGTTCAAATCTGGCCTCAGGCTTATAACACTTACTAGCTGTGTGACTCTGGGCAAGTCACTTCACCCCACTGCCTTGCCAAAAAAAAAAAAGAATGAGATGTGAGGGG